AAAATAAATTGCAAAGAAATATTCAAGGGAATGTCTTATAATTTTTATTATTACGACATTAACAAAGAATGACAATGTCTTTCTTAGTCTTCCTCCCCCAATGGAATGAGCACAACAAGGTACTGATACCACCATTAAAAGGAAAACAAACTAAGGAAGATGTGCCAAAATATAAGTTACATATTAGTCTATATATTATCTCTAACAAATCTCATAAATCCTTCAAGGTCCGGAGGAATTTCCGTTGGTGGTGGTGGAAAAGAAGCTTGTTCATCACCGCTTCCGGGCGAAGCAGCATCCTGCGCAAGTTCCACTAGCATTTCTTCATAAGCTTCATCTATCTCCGGTTGTGATTCTGCAAGTCCAAAATTTCTTCTTTCTGAACGGATCCAATCTCTGAAGAGTACTGATTTTTCCAAGCTCTCCCTCATAGACTCTCTATGATTACCGATTTGAAGTCTCGCTTGACTGAAAGCGCTCTCCGATGCCACTGTTGAAGCTTGAACACTTAAAATATCTCGAGCCATCCTTGAAAGAACTGGATAGTGTTTTTGTTTGTCTTTCCACCATTCCAAAATATCGAAGGAGCCATCGGGATTCTCTGATTGAAGTCCCTGCGATAAATAAACTTGAAACTCATTTTAAACTCCCAAACAGTTGGAAATTGAAGACCAACGGCTAGATTTTAAAAATCTGACCATTGGTCATTTTTTAAAAATAGCCGTTGGGGCCCGTTAGGCCTGTTTGAACCGGTCCCGGGCTCACGGGCTATTTGGGTTGGACCGGCCCGCTACGGCTTATGCACAATTAGAGACCGACCCATTTGAGACCAGCCCGTTTGGCCCATTTGGCCCGTTTGGCCCGCGGTCTCAGGTCGGTCCTGACTGGGCCCGACCCAATTACTATCTAATGTTGTCCAAGTATTGTAAATCGGTGATTTTTCAAGGGCAACTAAATGCTTGCTGGATTGTCTTTGTAATTTGTGGCTACCATCAGTAGAGCTTCAAAGAAGCATTTCCTTTCTTTATTACCTTCTGGATATTAGATCTGTTTGTTCCTTCGTCTGACTTTGACGAATTTTTCGTTGTTATTCATTTTTATTTCAAGGATTTTTTTTCCATATGGAGGAATTATTAAACTGGTTGAAGAAAATTATTCTTTCTTATGATTTTGATGAATCGACCGGTAAAAAGGGAAAAGATCAACGAATATTCATTTTCCAGCTAAGTTCCATAGTTTCCGGAAGAAAGATGTTTTGTACTGGAATTTAGAGCTATGTCACGCTCTTAGAAGCTGTGTTATGCACACATTGTGCCACCTCAACAGATTGTGTCTAATAGGTACATATATATTTTTAGAGGTCAAGTGTTCAATGGGTACCCCATTGAACACTGTTTAAGGGGCTACATATGTATTTGGCCTTATTTTTTTTAAAGTCAAGCTTTCTAAAGTTCAAAAGTTAGATTTTCTGCTAAGTCTATTCGACCATTTTCAAGAACGTAGTTTCACTTTCTTTGTTTTCACTCTTGAACTCACTTTATAAATCGTATAATGCCTCAGTCACTTTAATCAGTTAAGTTCCATTTTGATTTAGCTAATGGATTACTTATTTTAAACTAGGCTTAATACATATTTTACCACCCAACCTTTGGTCCAAATCCCCCTTACACACTTTCTATGGACGATAATAACCTTACACAAGAAACCTTTCTAAAGTGTATCTAGTACCCACCTCCTTTGACCAGATCCTGTTAATAAGACATCCGTGTATGTCACGCGTTTGAATTTACATAATTTTAACCCATTACCTTATAATAACTAACCCGACCCTACCCGACCCACAAGGTAAAAACGTTAAAACCAAACTTACCCAAGTCAGTACTCAAAATCCGATACATCTAGAAGGAGCTACTGTAAAGGTGATTCCGGTGACCATCTCAAGCTACGATTTCATCGTGGATTTCCTGTGGATTTATGCAGTTAATAGGTTAGTAATTTTCTTCTCCTTGCATTACCCGTTTATTTTAGTAGTGGGTGGGGTTGAACCTAGGTTTTTTTTTGAAATTTCTTCTATTTTGCTTAGGGTTATCGGACTTTTAAAAGAGGAATCTTTTGTCATTGTCGATATGATTGTGAAGTTGTCATCTTGTTGCCTTTGCAGATAGTTGTTTTTCTAAAAAAGATTTGTCTTGTGTTTGCAAACCGTGTGTAAAGTTAGGGTTTAACTGATTATTGTAATATCATTGCTTTGAACAATGTGATATTCTCTTGTCTTTGTCTCCACTTTTATATTTCATTTGTAGTTCTTTATTTTCAATTGTTGCATGTGGAAAGTCCATTTATTTGTCCCTTCTTTGTTTGCAGATAATGTCTTTTAAAATCATTACCCTCAGGTGGTACCATGATGGGGTATTAGTTCCTGGTAACTTTGCTCGTTATGTGGGTGGTAGTCAAACATTAACTTTAGATGTAGATGTGGATTTACCGTCTCTTATTGAACTGATGAACTACACTAGGATCTATGACTTTCAAAATGTGGCTGAGTTGTATATTTGTCCAATGGATAGGACAGATAAATTGGTAAATATTCTCACAAACAAGGATATTTTAGACATTTCTAATGAATTGGAAGATGGGGATACCTTAGATATTGATGTGACTCATGCTGCCCCTTTATGTGTTGTTGACATAAATGAGGCTAGTAAAGGGGTTGGTGGGTCTAATAGTGGAGCTTTTAAAAGCACAACTGTCTTAGAAGAAGAGGAAGATAGTGAATCTGAATCTGAATCTGCCCCTGGTCATGAACCTATCCCTTCCCCTTCCCCTTCCCCTCCCTCTCCCTCTGAACCTGCTCTTGCCCCTGCACCTTTAAGAGAACAAGAGAGTGGAGTAGATAGTGAATCAGACTTTGATAATAGTGAAGGTGAGGATGACAATGAGAATGATTCAGACTTTGACAATAGTGATAGTGATGAGAGTGATGGAGTAGATTTACATATTCCTGATGGTAAGGATTATGGATCTGATGTTTATGAAGAATTTGTAGAGTGTAGGGATGAACTGAGTAAGTATATGAGGAAAAGGAGTGAAAGGCCAAAAGATAGAGGTGATATTAACATAGGTGATGCAGGAGTTGATATTGATTTTAATGAATTAAGAACTGGTAGCAAGCAAGATAGGTACACAGTCTTAGTAGGGACAGATGAGCCTTACTTTGGGTCTTCAGATGCTGAAAGTTTTCCTTCAGATGCTGAAGATGAATTTGATGAAGAACATAAGGAGAAAATGGCTGCCAAGAGGAGGAAGAAAGCCCTGATATTTGATCTAACTGTCAAGAAAATAACCTGGGAGTTGGGGCTGATTTTTGAGAGTGTTGAACAATTTAGATTTGCTGTTAGTAAGTATGCAAATCAGAAAGGAGTTCAAATTGAAAAGTATATTAATGAACCTGGTAGGGTGAGGGTAAGATGCATGCATCCAAAATGTCCATGGATCTTGGCTGCAAGCAAAGATGGCAGATCCAACAATTTTAAGGTGAAAAGGTATTGCCCTGTCCACAAGTGTTACAAAACAAATAAAAACAAGCTTTGCAACTCCAGATACCTAGCAAAGCATTACAGGGATAAGATTGTGTGTCAACCAAATATGAAAGTTTGGGAGCTAAAGAAACTCATTAAGGATGAACTGGACATGTATGTTGGTAGGTCTACTGTACATAGAGCTAGAGCAAAAATTCTAAAGGAGATAATAGGTGATGTGCATGCTGAGTTCAAGAGACTCTATGATTATAGAGATATTCTATTACAGACAAATCCAAGTACAACTTGTGTTGTGAAGGTAGAAGATCAAGGTGAAGGCAAGTTTGTCTTCAATTCATTTTATGTTTGCTTATATGCTATGAAAAAAGGATGGTCTGAGGGTTACAGAAGGATAATTGGCCATGGTGGTTGTTTTCTAAAAGGCATTTGTAAGGTTCAACTTCTTGTAGCAGTATCAAAGGATGGAAATAATCAGATGTTTCCTATAGCTTGGGCCATTGTAGAGGTTGAGAACAGTTTCACTTGGACATGGTTTTTGAAGTGTGTGACTCATGACTTAGAGCTTCAAGATGGAAGGGATCTTACTATCATGTCTGATATGCAAAAGGTGAATATATTCTTCTGTTTCTGTTTTCTGTCAATATTTATTTTTTCTAATTTCTGTTTCTGTTGGCAACTAAATCAATTCGTTTTATGTTTAAGGGATTGCTTAAAGCTGTATTAGAAGTGTTGTCTGAAAGTGAACATGGGTGGTGTGCCAGACATATATTAGCAAACTGGTCCAAAGATTGGAGAGGATTAGAGAGGAGAAACAACTTCTGGAGCTGTGCTAGAGCATCATGTGTAGCAGAACTGAATTTTCACCTGGACAGTTTGAATATGCTTAGGAATGGGATATGTGAGAGCCTCTTGAGGTATAACAAGGAAACCTGGTGTAGAGCATACTTCAACTGTGACATGAAATGTGATATAATTGACAACAATATATGCAAGACATTTAATGCTTGGATACTTGCTGCTCGGCACAAGACAATTATCACAATGTTGGAGGAAATTAGAGTGAAGATGATGGAGAGAATAGGAAAGTTGAGGGAGTTTGCAGATACATGGATATATGATATATCCCCAATTTCTATGAAGGTGTATCATGATAACATGGCCCAATCTATGAGGTGTACAATCAAGTGGAATGGTGAATATGTCTATGAGGTTGAGGATACCTCATTAAGAGTGGTGCTGAAGCATTGTGTGAATATGCAAGCTCAAACTTGTACATGCAGGTCATGGATGCTGAAGGGTATCCCTTGTGCTCATGCCATTACTGCTATGCATTTCAAGAACCTTAACCCAATTAACTACATATCTCACTGGTACCACAAATCCACCTATCTGAAGGCATATTCAACATTCATCCAGCCTGTGTCAAACATGCAGATGTGGACAACATCTACCAATCCACCAATTGAACCGCCACCAATTAAAAAGATGCCTGGCAGACCAAAGAAGAAGAGAAGAAGAGAAGAAAGAAGAAACTGAACATCCTACTTCTGGAAAGCTTTCAAGAAGGGGTATGGAGATGATATGTTCAAACTGTGGTGGATATGGACACAACAAGAGGAGCTGCCCCTAAGAAAGCAAGGCCTGCAGATTCTACTCCAGCAAATGCTTCATATATCCAAAGATGTGGAGGAAGAGGAAGAGGAAGAGGAAGAGGCAGAGCAAGAGGAACATGAACTCCAACTACTTCTGCCCCTACTGCTGCTGGTAGAGGAAGAGGAACTGCTGCTAGTAGAGGAAGAGGAACTGGTAGTGGTAGGGGAAGTTCTGGGTTTGGACTATTTCAATCAAGCAGTGGGTTCACAAGTTTTTCTGTAAGTGGTTCAAAGTTAATTTTATATCTTGTTTGCTTTAACAACTTTACTGAATATTTTTTGTTTTTGGTAGTCTGGTGGAGGTAAGCCAAGAGTGGTCTCTCATGGTGGTGAAAAGAGGTCCTCAGCAGATATTCTGGAGTGTGCATACAAGCCAAGAAATGGTGTAAAATGGAATGGTAGACCAGCCATTACTAGAAGACAACTTGAAAGAACTGTTGCAACTCGTTCCAGAACTGCCTCATCTCAATCCAATTTAAGTCAAGCAAGTTCATCATCCCAGCCATCCCAGAACAACCACTGAATTCTGTTATTGTCACTGTTAATTTATTTTGGAACTATTGTAATTTTCCTTTGGAACTGTAATTTATTTTGGAATTGCTGTTAGGTTTATTCGGAACTGCTATTTAGGTTTGCTGTTAGTGTTGTTATTTTGTTAAGGCAACGTGCTGTTATTTTGGTATGCTGTAAAACTGGGCAGCGTATATTTTTGTAAAGGCAGGCTGCTGCTATTAGGTGACTGTAATGAACACCTTTACTCTATGATGAAATATATTT